TTTTAGTATAGGGTTTTTAGGTAATGCATGTATGGGACAAAAGTCCTCGGCTAGGGGACAAAAGTCCACAGCCAGTGGGCAACAGCCCATCTAATCAATTCTAATTGCTGTTTAGGGATGGGATTATGTACTTTGATTATTTAACATACTGATTGTTCTTTTTTTTTTAAAGATGACCGGTAAGGGGATCTCAACCCTTGGCTTGGTGTTCAGTGAGCTAACCAGCCATCCCTATATGGGATCTGAACCCGTGGCCTTGGTGTTATCAGCACCACACTCTCCCGAGTGAGCCACAGGCTGGCCCATACTGATTGTTCTTAAAAGATGTAGAAAGAATTGCTGTAGGGAAAAATGTGAAAAAATGTTCGCTAAGGGCAAGTTGTTTGTTGGTGGAAACTTTAGAGACAATTATACTTAGATTTAATCATAAGAATGTAACTTTTGCTTAAATCAGTTAAGGAGAGGTTATATTTTAAATTAGAGAATGATCGCAGTTTGATCAACTTAGCTTTTCACAAATTGTACTTTATGATGTTACTAGTTTCCATTGTTTAAGCTATACTTAGCCATAGATAACTTTTGTCACATTGTCCATGTCTTTGTGTCCTTATTTTTTTATTTTTTATTTTTGTCCTTTTTGAGACCGGCCGCACCGCGCTCAGCCAGTGAGCGCACCGGCCATCCCCATATAGGATCCGAACCCGCGGCGGGAGCGCCGCTGCACTCCCAGCACCGCACTCTCCCGAGTGCGCCACGGGCTCGGCCCTTTGTGTCCTTTTGAAATTATTGAATCAACTGATTTTTCTTGTGAAACTTCCTTGCCTTTACAATAAAAAACAGAAGCTAACTTTGAATCAGGGCTGCATCCAGTTTTCTCCTACCAGCAGAGGAGTTGCTGAGGTGCAGTTCCTTCAGGCTTCTCATTTGCATTCATGTTGATTTAAGTATTCCTTTTTTGAGTCTCTATTACACAGCAAGACAGGGCAGTCTTGAATAAAGAACAATTGTTGACAGAGCTGAGACAGAGAACAGAGCCAAGATAACAATAGTTAATATTCCTGAAAACCAAAACAAACGGAACAGAAGTAATAGTTGAAAGAGTTCTCATTTACTGAATCCTTATTCTATACCAGGCACTTGTCTACTTGAATCCTTATGACTGTCTTCGGAGGGAAATCAGAAGTTTTAGATCGATTGTGCAGAAGAGAGGGTGGAGATTTGCAGTAAATCACCTTTGGTCACACAGCTATTGCAGATAATTGACGATTTATTAGAAGAAAACTCTCCAGCTGTAATGACCTATTTTATAAAGAGGGAACAGGTTTGCTGCATTGTAAGCAACATCAGTGATCACATCTGGATCATTCTTGGCAAAACAGTTCTGTTAGTGAGTACAGACCCTTTTTATTCACTTGATAATTCATCTTTTTGCCTCTAACACCTAAGGGTAAGATTTTAAAATCATTATTTGTATTGACAGCTCCAATTCTAATTCTTCTTCTGTTCCATATTAGTATTCTCCTCTTCAGTAAAAACATCTGTGTATACTCAACGTAAAAATACTGTAATACACATAGAAGAGTTTTGGAATCGCTATACCTTTACCAGCAGCAGTTCTTTTTTGTTGTTGGAATATATCATGCTGAGGGTGAGTGGTCAGAGTACTATGTTCAGAAGCTATTAAGAAAAATTCTCCTTTCCTTCTCTGTGGTTATGTTATCAGCCTGATGCGTGGTTAGGTTCATTCGTTTCTCTTTGTATTCAGTTTTGGGGTACTTCTTATCCTTATATAAATTAAATTTAATTTTTTTAAATATGTGAATCATAACATGCCTTTTTTTTTTTCCCTTTTGTCTTTTTTACTGACTGGTAACGGGATCGCAACCCTCAGTGTCGCGCCTGTACCGGGGACCGGCAACAGGATTGCAACCCTCGGTGTTGCGCCCGCACCGCGCTCAGCCAGTGAGCGGGAACCGGTCTCCACATGGGATCCGAACCCTCGGCGGGAGCGCCGCCGCACTCCCAAGTGGCGCACTCTCCAGTGCACCACCGGGCCGGCCCCATAACATGGCTTTAATGTCAAAACTTTTATATAAGGAGTTTCCTTGGACAAGTTTCATTCCCTTCCCTATCCCTTCTTTCTTGTTTCTACCTACCCACTAGGAAAATAAGTATTACCTTCTGGTTTATCCTTCCTGAATCATTTCCTTTTGGAAAAATTAACAAGTGGAAAGAAAAAAAATATATATGTATATATATAATGATCATATATATATAATTTTATATTTTTATATATTTTTCCTCCAATTCTTACCTCTCCTTTCTAATGGAAATCCTTTCTTTTGGAAATCTTTTCTTGTGCAAAGGGTAGCATGCTATATACACTCTTCTTTACCTTGCATTTTTTTGCTTTTTCCCCCCTAGGACACGCTCTGTATTAGCCCATGAAGATCTTTCTCATTCTTTCTCACAGCTGCATTATTTAAATGGGTACTTATATCATTTCTGATATTTTGCTATTATAAATAATGTTGCAGTGAATATTTTTAAATCTTTGAGTTACAGTGACAAAGGGAAGTCCTACAGACACCTGACAGAAACACAGGTTACTTACAAAGAAAATCAGGTTGACTTTAGATTTATATAATATTGTACCTGGGGGCTGGCTGGTTAGCTCAGTTGGTTAGAGTGTGGAACTGATAACACCAAGGTCCAGGCTTCCATCCCATACCAGCCAACTGCCAAAAAAAAAAAAAAGAAAGAAAACAAAAACCTAGAACAGAGCCTGACATGTAATATTTGTTTTGCTTCACAATTCATTCTTATTGTTAAGTTATACATGCACATAATGACTTTGAACTGTTTTTTTTTTTTAAAAAAAAAGATGACTGGTAATGGGATCTTAACCCTTGACTTGGTGTTGTCAGCACCACGCTTAGCCAGTGAGCAAACCGGCCATCCCTATATGGGATCCGAACTCGGGGCCTTGGTGTTACCATCACCGCACTCTCCCGAGTGAGCCACGGGCCGGCCCGACTTTGAACTGTTTTAATTGACTCTTTTGGTAATTTCCTTTGTATCTCTGTGTTTGTATTGTATCCATTGTACTTCATGGTTTTCATCCCTGTCTTATAATTGAACAGAAACAACAGCTCCTTTTTTGTCCTTTTTACTACCATAGGATTTAGTAGGTGATATATTTCATTGTCTCTCTTCTATTTGGGACCACTAATGTCTAGAGAGCTGGGTTTTGTAGTAGGTATTTCATATACAAGGAGTCTTCAAAAGTTCATGGAAAATATGTATTATGAAAAAACTATGCATGGATCTCAATTTTTTTTTCTTTGCACCAAAATAAACTTGTACTAACCTGTTTGACATATCTGAACAGGATCTCGTTTGAGACACTAAGAAGTATAAGACATCAATTTGAAGAGAGCTCCTATCAGAGCAGCATGAATTTTGCTAAAATTGAGGCAAGAACAAACATCAAATTTATGGTGATTCAGCTTGGGTGGAAGAACGGTGAAATCATTGATGCTTTACAAAAAGTTTATGGGGACATCGCCCCAAAGGAATCATCAGTTTACAAATGGATAACTCATTTTAAGAAGGGACAAGTTGATGCTGAAGATGAAGCCCACAGTGGCAGACCATCCACATCAATTTGCGAGGAAAAAATTAATCTTGTTCATGACCCAATTGAAAAGGACTAACAAAGCAGAAACAATAACCCCACCATAGACATCTCAATTGGTTCAGCTTATAGTTCTGACTGAAAAATTGCAGTTGAGCAAACTTTCCACTTAGTGGATGCCAGAACTGTTACACCCCAGATCACTTGCAAAGAGCAGAGCTTTCAATGGAAATTCTAAATAAATGGGATCAAGATCCTGAAGCATTTCTTTGAAGAACTGTAATAGGAGCCAGCCCATGGCTCACTCAGGAGACTGTGCTGCTGATAACACCAAGGCCATGGGTTCAGATCCTATATAGGGATGACCGGTTCGCTCACTGGCTGAGCGTAGTGCTGACAACACCAAGCCAAGGGTTAAGATCCCCTTACCGGTCATCTTTAAAAAAAAAAAAAAGAAGAAGAAGAATTGTAACAGGAGATGAAACATGGCTTTACCAGTAAGATCCTAAAGACAAAGCACAATCAAAGCCATGGCTAACAGGAGGCGGAAGCAGTCCAGTCAGAGCAACAGCAGACCATTTAAGAGCAGAAGACATGGCAGGCAACAGTTTTTGGGTTTGCTCAAGGCTTTTTGCTTGTTGACTTTCTGGAGGACCAAAGAATGATAATATCTGTTATGAGAGTGTTTGGAGAAAGTCAAAGCTTTAGCAGAAAAATGCCTGAGAAAGCTTCATTAGAGAGACCTTCTCTACCACGACAATGCTCTCACTCATTTCATCAAACAGGGCCAATTTTGTGAGAGTTTCAATGGGAAATCATTAGGCATCCCCCTTATAGTCCTGATTTGACTCCTTCTGACTTCTTTTTGTTTCTTAATCTTAAAAAATCTTTAAAGGACATTCATTTTTCTTCAGTTAATAATGTAAAAATGTGCTGGCTGTTTAGCTCACTTGAAGAGCCTGGTGCTGATAACACCAAGGTCAAGGGTTCAGATCCTTGTACCAGCTAGCTGCTCCCCCCCCAAAAATGTAAAAAAGACTGCATTGATATGGTTAAATTTCCAGGACCCTCAGTTCTTTGGGGATGGATTGAATGGCTGATATATTGCTTACACAAATGTCTTGAACTTAATAGAGCTTATGTTGAGAAATAAAGTTTATATATTTTATTTTTATCTTTTAATTCCATTTTTCCACGAACTGTTTGAAGTACCTCATATTTATTGATTGAAAGAAGGAGTTACGAAATCATTACAACTTTAGAATACAGTGAATATAAAAGGAAATTGTTCACTTCCTATTTTTCCTAACACCACACATTTGTTAAATTCATTCTTCTCTTTATTTTTTCTCTCCAATTTTAGTCTGTGCTGAGACCTATAACCCTGATGAGGAAGAGGAAGATACTGATCCAAGGGTAAGAACTAAAGCAAAGAGGACCGGCCCGTGGCTCACTTGGGAGAGTGTGGTGCTTATAACACCAAGGCCACGGGTTCAGATCCCTATATAGGGATGGCCAATTAGCTTACTTGGGAGAGTGTAGTGCTGACAACACCAAGTCAAGGGTTAAGATCCCCTTACTGGTCATTTAAAAAAAAAGAAAAAAAACTAAAGCAAAGGTTTTAGATAGAATTGTTGTATTTCTCAATGACTCCCCTCTTCTACACACCAAAATCTAATCATGCTGATAATTAAAATAAATACAAATTAAAAATCTCAACAAGATGCCATTTTTTGTCTAACAGATTGGAAGCAGCACTGGTTGAAGGTATGGTGAGAATGGGTGCCTGTCTGTAGCTGTCAGGTATAGTGAGAATGGGTACCTAGCTGTAGATGTCAGGAGCCCTAAACATAGTCAAGACAACTGACTCAGCAGTTACCTAAAGGAGAATTTATCCCTACTGAGCAGTTGGATCCTTCCCAAGGATATACAAACAGAGATCACTGCAGTGTTGTAATAGTGAAAAATGGAAATAACCTAAGTAACCCAAAACAAGGGATTACCAGGGGCTAAATTTTGGTACATTCAAATTAAGAGAATCTGCAGCTATTGAAAATGATGGTACAGGGCTGGATCTAATGGCATAGGGTGTATGTTTGTATGAGGTACAATTTATAGAGCATTTTGTAAGATAAAAAAACATTTGAAAAATATACCTATTTATTTATTTGTACATATGTACAGAGAATTATATCTGAAAGGGTATACCCTAGATGTTAAGAATGGTTGTGGCAGGACCATGGTTGATTTTGGGGTGCCTTTTTAAAAAACTCAAGTTTTTTTAAACCTTTGTACAATTAACATAAATTACTTTTGTAAAAGCAAATATGAACCATTATTTTAAAAACATTGATATTATAAAAGAAACGTTGATCATCTATCATGTATACCTTAAAATGAGATTTCTGTAGTATTCTAATAATAAAATGTTACCATTATGTGAGTATAACAGACATGTTGATTAAAAATTTTTTTATTCTGGATATCATAAAATTCTTTATGACTTAAAACTTTAAAGGTTTTTTTTTTTTTTTCTATAAAGATGACCGGTAAGGGGATCTCAACCCTTGGCTTGGTGTTGTCAGCACCACGCTCAGCCAGTGAGCAAATTGGCCATCCCTATATAGGATCCGAACCCGTGGCCTTGGTGTTATCAGCACCGCACTCTACCAAGTGAGCCACGGGCCGGCCCAAAAACTTTAAAGTTTTTAAAAAATTTAATATCACAAATTTAAAATACTTAGCACTTTTGACGTCTGTTATTTCTGGTCATATTAAATGATGTACCTTTTTGGGGGGGTGAAGACAATACTTAGGAAGGAGCTTGATAGGTCTCTCAATTACAATACCAATATTAGGCAATAATTTTTTTTATTTCAATAAACATTTATTATCCATAATTATAGTAATAGTAATAGTTTTTGAGCACCTATTAAATGCAAGGCACTATTTTAAACACTGCGTATACTAACTTATTTAATCCTTATGACAACCCTAATTTGTTAGATACCACTACTACTACCGCTGATAAAATAAGTTGTTGATGTTTGGACTCTAGGCCTTGTATTGTTTAATTACCATCTCCACTTAGATGTCAATAGACAACTCAAACTTAAATGACCTCATGATTATTTCCCTTTAAATATTCTTCTCCACCCACAGTCTTCTCCAGTTTAATTCATGGCAGTTCCATACTTCCATTTGCACAGGCCCAAAACTTTGGGGTCACTTTCAACTCCTGTCATTTTTTCATATCCACACATAATTTTTCAGTAAATCCAATAGGCTCTGTCTTGAAAACATATCCAGAATTTTACTACTTCTCAACAACTCTATGCTATCACCCTGGTCCAAATCACCACCATCTGGCACTGGGAGTAGCTGTAGCTTCCTGGCTTTCACTTTTGCCTTCTTCCAGGCTGTTCTTCACTCAGCAGCCACTGTGATCCTTTAAAAACAGTCATATCTTTCCTTCCTCAGTCAGAACCCTCAAATCACCCCCATGTTGCTAGAGCAAGGTCCAGTTCTTTCGTGACCTACAATGCCCTCTCTGATTTGAGCATCTCCCCCCCCCCAACCCAGTCTCCACCTGATCTTGACCCTTCACTCTGTACCAGCCATACCTGCCTCCTGGTTATTTTTCAAACATGCTGTTTATGCTCCCACCATAGAGCCCTGTTTTCTCTTGCTGTTTTCTCTGCTTGGGGTACTCTTTTCACAGAGATATCCACATGATTCATTTTCTCAGATTGTATTCACTTCCTTGAGATCTTTACACAAATGTCACTTTCTCAGTGAGGTCTCACCTGGACACACACACATACACATACACACTCACACACACACTCATTCACACACACACACACACACACTCTCACTCTCTTTCTTTCTTTCCCCTTCCCCCTTCCATCTTTCCTCCCTCCTTTTTTCCCTCCCTTCTTCTTCTTTCCTCTCTCTCTCTCCCCCTCCATCTCCTCTCTCTCTCCCTCTGTCCCTTTCTTCATACACACACACTCTTCTTTTCTCCCTTCCCTGTCTTACTTTTCTCCTTAGCCTTATCACTCTCTAATATATTTATAAATTTAT